ATAATTTAGTCCTTCTAATACTTTTTAAATTTCAATTTCTGCTTATTTTCCTTCCTTTACATGTGTATAAATATAATATAAAGTTCGCACCACATCAAGGTATCACCATAATATTTAAATATATACTTACCCGCTTCAACTTCATTTCATAAAGACACGCAGGCTCCACTAACATCGTTTTTCTTCAAAATTCTTCTTTTCTTCTTTTCTCCCATTTAGATTAGTCATATAACCTTGTCTTATAACTAATCTCACTAATAAATAAAATATTAATATTTTAATAATATTTTATTTATAAAATATTATTTTATTTCAAAATATTCTTTTTACCTATCACCGTTCTCTAACACTTAGACTTACATCAAATAACTCTTCTTCTCATCGATAGAGTCTTATTAACCTCTAAACGAGGGTACCGGGTGTTACAATCTCTCCCACTTAAGACAAATTCATCCTCAAATTTAAATGGAATGGGTTGGTAAGGCAAACCTTAATCTTGAAAAAGATGTGGATATTCCTTCCTCATTTCCTCTCGAGTTCCCAGGTTGCCTTTTCCACTGATTGATTTTGCCACAACATTTTTACTGAGGCAATTTCCTTGGAGCGCAGTTGTTTTACTTGACGATGCAGTATTGCCACTAGCTGCTCTTCAAAAGTTAGTCTTTCATCCAATTGTACCCAATCATAACGTATAACATGCGTCAGGTCCTTAATGTACTTCCTTAACATAGACACATGAAAGGTAGGATTTACTTGAGCTAGTTCCATTGGTAAAGCTGGTTGATATGCTGTTGACCCAATACGTTCCAAGATCTAAAAAGGTCCAATATATCTCAAACTCAATTTCCCCTTCTTGCCAACTCTTTTACTTCCTTGTTGTGGGGATACCTTTAGAAACATAAAATCCCCCACCTGGAACTCCAAAGGACGATGCCTATTATCTTCATAAGACTTTTGTTTACTCTTGGCTATCTTTAAACGTTCCCTTACTAAACTAAGCACATCAGTTTCTTGTTGCACCAAATTGGGTCCTAATAATTTCCTTTCTCGCACTCCAAACCATCCAATGGGTGACCTACACTTCCATCCATATAGTGCTTGAAAAGGAGCCATTCCAATACTAGCTTGGTTGCTATTATTGTACGCAAATTCTGCCAAAGATAATTGTTGATTCCACATGGTCCCCAAATCTAACACTATTGATCTTAACATATCCTCAAGTGTTTGTATCACACGCTTTCACTAGCCATCCGTTTGAGGATGATAT